TTGATGACCTAGTGGGTGAGTTAGGGAATGAAAATATTAGAGATGGGTGTGAAGATATATGGATTGATTGATTGTTGTAATGTATGACATTACTTATTCAGTTAATTGTATGACACTAATTAATAATTCTATACATCATTTTAATTCTAATCACATATTCATTATATGTAGGCACAACAAATCAAAAATTAAAAAAGTTGGGTTAAAGCTGTAAAGTACGACGGTCCGGTAAAAAAACTGGAAACACAGACGTCCAAAATAAAAACAACGTCGGGTTTTAAAAAGGCAAAAGACCGTAAAGCAAAAAAATTGACATCTGAAAAAGAAATCAAGTCAGTTTGGTTAAAATAAACTGTTGTCTAAAGGTCGAAATAAAGGCCGTTCAGTTCCATTAACTGTCGTGACAAATGTTCTGCACGTCGAATAGTCTAAAATAACTGACGTCTCCGGGCATACATACGTCAAGGCAGGTTAAACAAACGACTTTTAAAAGGACAACCACGTCAGCCAAATGAGCAAATTTACAAAACCCTTCAAACTTTTGTAAATTCCACATCAATGTGACTAGCACCGCCACATAGATAGCACTTTACAAAACCCTTCAAACTTTTGTCATCCCTAAAGCCATAAGAGTTCAAAAAATTCCTCTCCTTAAAAACATTGTCTTGACACACACATGCAGACGAACTAGGAAGATTTTGACAATTCCTAGTGACTTTGGTTTTATCTTTGACAACCATCCTATATTTCTTAACAAACAAGGCAAGCTCATCATGAATGCAAGGAGCAATTTGATCCATTTCCATATTTACACACCTAATACCAATTGAAATTGGTACTTAGGTGACGAGGGGTAAATTTAAAAGATATTCAACCAAAAACACAGCAACCTTCACACACTCTAGACCTTGACCAAATACTCATACTCTTATGACTAGTCAACTATCAGATATGAATTATACCAAACAATAACATACACAGAGCATACCAAGATGAACACACAAGCTTAGAGAATTACTATTGACAACCTAGGCACTTAGAAGGACCCATCAATCCAGGCATCCCCTGTGCTAGCAACAACTTTGGTGAAAGTGTGTGAAGACAACATAATCAAGCAAGCACCAAACAACAGAAAAAGATGACTAGTCAACCGCACAAACCCAGATGACTAGTCAACTATCAAGAACACAAACCCAGAAAATTTACAGAGATGGAAACCAGAAACTGTTTACCAAGAAAACCACCATTGGGAAAACTGGGGGTCATCAACCGACCAGGCAATCCACTAAGTAGAAAAAGATTCTTACAAAAGAACACAAGCAAGCTCAAGAAAAACCTAAATTTATTTAGGAAGATGAGCTCCAATTTCTTCAAGAAACCATACTCTTGAAGAAATCAGTCTTGAATCTGACATTGATATAAATGAGAGAATGATTTAAGTAGCTAGATGCAGATTCGTGTTTCAAATGCAGTTTTTCAAAAAGAATCAATTGGAAAAACTCATAGATGAAATATTTGGTTCTCTCTTGAGGAATAAGAAGAGAAAGATAGCAAGTCAATCTTTCCAAAACTTCCACCCAAAAGAGACAGCAGCCAAATGAGCAAATTTGTAGTCTTTACAAACAAAAAAAAAATCCTTAGGTCAGAAACACACATGGTAGCAGAGAGAGAAAGGAGAATAGGACAAAACAGTTTGTTATCCAACTGGAAATCCTACAGAGCAAGGATGACTAGTCATATGAGAAACAGATGACTAGTCATCATTTTATGAAGACAGTTTAATGTAATGATATGCAATGCACAATTTACCTTTGTCAATTTGCTTGAACCTTCATAGAACAGAAGTTAGATAAGAACACCAAGAGAAGCTTTTCTTAATCTAAACTTGAGCTTGATAAATAACAATACAAATCCTATTACAAAGTTGTCAAGGGAAGCCAAAAGAAAATTACAAAAACCATACATTCACAGGATCACTCATGGTGATTACAAGCCAATCAAATCAGATTCCGAGAGGCCGTGGGGGAACCGAATGGCCATCATGCCGGTGACCATGCCCAAGTTAACTGAATTTTCAAACCCACTGGACTTCGTGTTCAAAGCACAAAAGCTTATAAAGAGGAAGATAAGTTCTTTTGCTGTTTACATCAACAAGAAGATGTTAGAAATCGTGAAGAAAATTAGAGGCGGCTATGAGGTGGCCATCATTCCTAAATAAATTAATTTCACTACAAGAAAACATAATTAATATTCATTGACATCCGTGACATAAACTGAGGTAGCTAAAAACTCTGTTGGCTTAGGTCCTAATATAGCTAACACATGATTATTTGTACCCATTGTACCTTTAGATTCTAATAGTGCTTTTAGCCAACTCATCTGTCACATCATACTAGTCGCTATTAATGCTTTTTCTTGTAGCGTAATGTATTTGTTTTCCTACGTACATAGATAGAAGAATATATAACATAATGTATTC